TAAACCAAAAGGTTTGTTTTATGTAAGCAGGCAAGGCTAATTGCCTTATATGAAGACCTAAGGCTAATGACAGAGGCCTGTTTGATTATAAATATTGGGATAACAAAATAAATTCAGCAACTAGAGCTTAATAAAAACTAGTCACACCTCAGATGGTTGTTGGGATTGACTCACTTGACAGCAGATCCGAAGAAGAAAGTTAAACACAAGGATCCAGTGAGTGCATTGTTGGTCTGAGAATCCCTGGAATGTTGCCTGGGAAGAGTTTTCAAAATAATCTTGGTTGGATCTCCAGAATTGCCAGAGGATGGTGAGACCTCTGTTCTATCTGAAATAAAGAGAAAGCTGAATTTCTTGCTTACTGCAGTTGGAGACTATTGGTTTTATATAAAATATTTGAGAAGAGTACAGTTCAGTGATTGCAGGCTTTCAGATAGACAAGTAGGTCAGCATTTTCTGAAGAAGGGTAGTTACGCAGTCGAGATTCTTGTGGATTGATTTGCCCATAGCAGTATGCATATTGGATTCAGTCATCCCTGATTGGCTGGTTTACAGAAACAAGGGGATGACATTGATTAGTTGGCTTGCAAAGTGTGTTTGCTGAAGTAAATTGATGTAGGCTTAAAACTCATGGCTACTTGTTACTATGGCGACACAGTAATCCATCTTTTCCAGTTTGTAGGAATTTTATTTTATTTTCAGGAATATATGAAAATTTGTTTTCATCTAGTTTTATTGTTTAGCTTCTTAGATATTAATCTTAAATTCATAAGGAATTTTCTAAAATTGGCTAGCAAGCTAACCTGTTTTCTTATGATCTTTTTTCTTACAAATTTGAAATGCCACCTTATTCTACACTCAGTATTAATCTGTTTGCTTGTTTCCAGATCTTTTATTTTGTTCCATTAATTTCTTTTTTCAGATGTATAAAGGTACAATTGACATCCACAAAAAATCCACACATATTGAAAGTGTGCAGTTGAATCAGTTTTGATATATTTATGTATATTTTATATATTTCACCTATGAAACATTACAGTGAAGAAAATGGTCATGGCCATTCCCCCAAAATGTACTCAGGTCTCTCCGAATTCTCTTCCCACTCTGTTCCTCCTCTGCACCCCATGGGCAGAAAATGCTGGTCATTCTTCTGTCACTAGAGATTAATCTGCATTTTCTAGAATTTTAAATAAATTGAATCATCGTGTTCTTGTTCTTTTTTACTGTTTTTCTTTTATAAATTTTTTGTCTGAGTCAGAGTCTCTCTCTGCTGCCCAGGCTGGAGTGCAATGGTGCAATCTTGGCTTACTGCAACCTCTGCCTTCCAGGTTCAAGCAATTCTTCTGCCTCAGCCTCCTGAGTAGCTGAGATTACAGGTGCCCACCACCATGCCCAACTACATAAATTTCTTTTTTAAAAAATAGAGATGGGGCCTCACTGTGTTGCTCAGGCTGGTCTCAAACTTCTGCGCCCAAGCAGTTCTCTCACCCAGCCTCAGCTTCCCAAAGTGCTGGGATTATAGGCCTAAGGGGGCAAGGAAGAAGACCCACCCGACAGCCCACCCACCCATCTGCCTGCCTGTTACTGTTTTTTGATCAGCTTCTTCAATTCAGCATTATTTTGAAATAATTCCCCTTGTTGAATGTTGCAAATGTTCATTCCTTTTAATTGCTGGATAGTGTTCCATTTTGTGGATTACCACAGTTCATTCACCCATTGTTTACAGGTTCTTTCCAGCTGTTGGCTGTTACAGATAAAGCTGTTATAAATATTAGTGTACGAGTCTTGGTGTGGACATATTCTTTGATTTCTCTTGGTTAGTAGATACCTTCATGTGGTAGGTGTGTGTTTAGTTTTATAAGAAACTCTTTCCCAAAGTGTCTGTACCATTTTACATTCCTACTAGCAGTGCCTGAGAATTCAGGTTGTTCCACATTCTCACCAATATTTGATATAGTCAGTTTTCATTTTAGAAATTTTAACAGGTGTGCAGTGGTATCCAGTTATGGTTTGGATTTAATTTTCCGAGTGAAGAATGATGTAGAGCATCTTTTCCTGTGTGTACTTGGCATTCATTTGTCTGCTTTGGTGAAATATCCATTCATATCTTTTGCCTATTTTTAAATATTTGGGTTGTTTTTACTGAGTTATGCAGTAATTCATTATATATAAGAGGTATGAATCCATTATCAGGTGAATGATATGCAAGTATCACATGATTTGCACATATTTTCTTCCAGTTTGTAGCTTGTCTCTGCATTTTTCTTAATGGTAATTTTTTTTTTTGAGATAGAGTCTTGCTCTGTTGGCTGGAGTGCAGTGGTGCAATCACAGCTCACAGCAGCGTTGGCCTCCAGAGCTAAGTAGTCCTCCCATGTCACCCTCTTAAGTAGCTGCAACTACAGGCATGCACCACCACACTCAGCTAATTAAAAAATTTTTTTTTTTAGAAATGGAGTTTCACCACATTGCCCAGGCTGTTCTTGAACTCCTGGGCTCAAGTAATCCTCCCAAAGTGCTGGGATTACGGTGTGAGCCATTACACCCGGCCAGCGGTTCCTTAATCTTTTATTCTTTTGCTATATTATGATGATGATGATGATGATGATTATTTTGAGACAGGGTCTTGCTCTGTCATCCAGGCTGGAGTGCAGTGGTGCAGTCCCAGCTCACTGCAGCCTCTGCCTCCCATGTTCAAGCGATTCTCATGCTTTGGCATCCCGAGTAGCTGGGACTGCAGGCATGTGCATGAGTCCACACCTTGCTAAGTTTTGTATTTTTAATAGAGATGAGGCTTTACCGTGTTACCCGGCCTTTTCTCAAACTCCTGAGCCCAAGTGATCCACCTGCCTCAGCCTCCCAAAGTGCTGGGATTACATGCGTAAGCCACCATGCCTGGCCCAGTGGTTCCTTTTAAGGAGTAAACATTTTTAATTCTGATGAAGTAAGTCTTAATTTATACTTTTTTTTCATAAGTTTTAGTTTTGGTGTCATGTTCAAGAAATCATTGCCTACCTCAAGGTCACAAAGATTTTCTGTTTTCTTTTAGAATAGTTTTGACTCATGTTTAGATCTGCGATCTATATTGAGTTAACTTTGACAGATGATGTCACGTAAAGGTCTGAGTTCCTTTTGTTACATGTTTGGTTATCACAGCATTATTTCTTTTCTTTCTTTCTTTTTATTTTTTTTGAGACAGAGTCTCACCCTAGTGTCAGGCTGGAGTGCAGGGGCACAATCTCGGTTCACTACAACCTCCGCCTGCCAGGTTCAAATGATTCTCCTGCCTCAGCCTGCTGAGTAGCTGGGACTACAGGCGTGTGCCACCACACCCAGCTAATCTTTGTATTTTTAGCAGAGACGGGGATTCACCGTGTTGGCCAGCATGGTCTCGATCTCTTGACCTCATGATCCACCTGCCTCGACCTCCCACAGAGCTGGGATTACAGGTGTGAGCCACTTCGCCTGGCCTGTTTTTCTGATTTTTTTTTTAACTAACCTATCCATATTTAGACTAAAGACTCCATTACCCCTGTGGCATGCAGCTGCTGATGTCTCTGCTCGGTGTTTCCTTTATCATCATATTTTAACCTGGCTTCCTAGTGATCACCCCCTTGTCTGTACAGCTCAGTCATTCAGGTAATGATTTGGAGAGCAGTTGTACTCAAACCCCTTGAGCCCATAAGGCTTCCATCTCTGCTAATGGATCTGTGTGTTGATTGAAGAATGCATTAAAAATTACAGGTAGTTTTCCCATCTTTCTTGGCTTTTACTCTCAGCTGAGATTTCGTGGCTCTCTTCTAAGCATAGATGGTTTCCCAGTCAGCCAAGGATGTGTGACCTTCTATGGCTTTCTGGTTGCCAGGATTTAGCCCTTAAATTTCTGGTCGATCCACTGCTCACCCCAACTTAGACTACAAATCTAGGATAACAGAACTTTGCTTTTCTCCGTTGCCACTTGTAGTTGGCTTGCCATGGGTTCCCATTCCCACCCCCAAGTTTTCTTAATCTCAAAAGGTTGCACACTTTTTAATTATATTTATATAGCAGTCTCAAAATGACAAAGTTAGAGAATAGACTGGTAGTTTTCAAATCTAGGGAAGGAGGGGGAGTATGACTATAAAAGGCAGCAGGAAATAGTCCCTTGGTGACATGCAACAGTTTGGTATCTGATTGTGGTAACCTATAAACAAGAGATAACTGTATATACAAACATACCAGTGTATGTAAATAACAATGAAAATGGAGTAAGATCTGTAGTCTAGTTAATGGTATTATAGCTATGGCAGTTCTGTGCATGAGACTCTACATCCAGATTTTGCAACTTTCTATGATTTCTTGAGTATTTCACAGTACGAAATTTAAAAAACTTAATTTTAATTAATTTAGGGACATGGGCTTGCTTTGTCACCCAGGATGGAGTACAGTGACACTGTAAGCTCACTGTAGCCTCAAACTCCTGGGTTCAAGCTGTCTTCCCACCTCACTCAGTCTGTGGAGTAGCTAGGACTACAAGGTATGCCACCATGCCTGGCTAATTTTCTAATTTTTTTTTAGAGTTGGAGTCTCGGTATGTTGCCCAGACTGATCTCGATCTCCTGGGCTCAAGAGATCCTCCCACCTTAGCCTTTCAAATAGTTGGGACTACAGGTGTAAGTTGTCATGCCCAATAGGCCTATATTCTCTATTTCCTGCAATTCAGGCGCTCTTAAGCTTTTTCCCTTTTTTTTTTTCTCAAGGAAATAGGGTCTCACTATGTTGCCCAGGCTGGTCTCCAACTTCTGGGTTCAAGCAGTCCTCCTGCCTCTGACTCCTAAAATGCTCGGATTACAAGTGTGAGCCACTGCATCTGGCCAAGACTCCCATCTTTTAAAAGACACAACTGGAACCTTCTGGTGCTATATAGCTGTGATTAGATTCCTCAATTACTTGATCCCCCATCCCTTTCATACTTTTCTGGATATACATTGTGATCCAAAATCTTTTGTCTCTTTCCAAAGGCATGCCTTTTATCAGCAGAATAAAGAACACTTCCAGGATGAGTGTACTAAGCTTCTGGTTGGCAATATTATCATCACCCGATATAACAATCGTACCTATCGTATTGATGATGTGGATTGGAATAAGACTCCAAAGGATAGCTTCACGATGTCTGATGGGAAGGAGATCACATTCTTGGAATACTACAGGTAGCAAGAAGAGACTGGGTTTGGGCCTCAGGGTGGGGATTGGATGTAGTCCACATTTTCCTGCAGGATATTTAGTTCTGCAATAGCATACAACTCGTCCCTTAAAAAACAACTGAGTTGGTAATGTGTCTAAAATCAAATGAGCTTGTTTGTGGGACTTGACCTGAGTATGCTTTGAATTTTTTTTTTTTTTGAGAATTTTTTTGAGACAGAGTCTTGCTCTGTCCCCCAGGCTGGAGTGCAGTGGCATGATCTTGGCCCACTGCAACTTCCATCCCAGGTTCAAGCAATTCTCCTGCCTCATCCTCCTGAGTAGCTGGGACTACAGTCATGTGCCACCAAACCCAGCTAATTTTTGTATTTTTAGTAGAGACAAGGTTTCAGCATCATGGCCAGGCTGGTTTTGAACTTCAGGTGATCCACCTGCCTCAATGTCCCAAAGTGCTGAGATTATAAGCCTGAACCACGGTGCCCGGCCTGAATTGTATCTCTTTTTCTGATTTTATTAGAAGTCTGGAGAGGTTAAATTCAAGTCATTAATCGTTTGACTGTCATTTCATCTTTCTGTTTCCTAAGCCCTTTATTTTAGCCTGATGAGCTTTTTAATACAGTCTTTTCTGAACTTTTAGCCTTATTTCTCATATATGTAATTGCAACATAATTAGAGCCTGCTTTTCCCAGTTACAAATACATTATGATCACTTTCCAGTGGGTCCTTGACAAGGGTATTATGCAAATTGTATACCTCATTCCTGGTTAAGAGACTCAGACGTTGTTGCTCTAAGAGTAGTGATGTCACTTTTGAAATTTTTTCCTGCCTGTACTCTCCTGTAGCAAAAACTATGGGATCACAGTTAAAGAAGAGGACCAGCCCCTGCTGATCCACAGGCCCAGTGAGAGACAGAATAACCATGGGATGGTGAGTAGGGGCTGTCAGGCTTACACTTCCACCTTAAGTTCTTCATCCTGCCAGTGGCTTTTAGCTTCCACGTGGCTCTTAGCTTCCACGTGGCTCTCTGGGAGCTGTGGAATAGTGATTGTAGTGTGGGCGGGGAACATTGTGCAATGGTTTGTCTGTCTTATCCAGCCAGAGGCACCCCTCACACTGGCAAGATTTGCTTTAGAAGTCCCCATGAGGTGCAGCTAAATATCCACATAAGCTATTAGGTTAAAGGGATAAGGAGAATTTCCTGTGAAGGAAGATTAAAACTGTGAATCCATTAGGAAAGGCATAGACATTTATTTTAACAGGGCCAGAGGCTTGAGGAAAGTGCCTTGTCACCTGACTCCCCTGTCTTAAATGTGAAGACTGAAGATCAGTAGGATACAGTGAGACCGAGGCACGCTGCTTAACAATAGGAGGCATTGTCTTACCATTGTCTTGAGGCCAAGAGGGACAAATGTTTTTTCTAGTTTTCCCTCGCCTTTGAGTTTCAGTATTTTTCCTTTGACCTAATACAACAAGTTATATGTATAGTGAGATGGAGGGAGAAAGGATAAAATACTTCTAGCATTTCACTGCCCCCTCCTCCAGGATTTTACACTCCTTAATGTGCAGGGTATATCACTGCAGGACCAGCCCTGGGCCATGGCGTGTCCTTTATGGGTCAGGGGAACACAAGCCTCTTGTACTGCCTTATTTTCCCTCTTCATTCTTTCTTCAAAGCTGCTAAAAGGGGAAATCCTGCTGCTGCCCGAGCTTTCTTTTATGACCGGAATCCCAGAGAAGATGAAGAAGGACTTCAGAGCCATGAAGGTTGGAGTCCTGTGTTTTCAGCAGGAAAGGCCCACTTTGCGTGGCAGCCTTTTGGTTAGCAGTTTGAGTTAGAACCGAGCCAGATTCTGACTCTGATGTTGGCTTGCATTGTAACCTGGGCAAGTCCATCTTCCAGGCTCCAGTTTTCTCCTCTGTGAAACATGATCTCATGTCCCTTCCCACACACAATGTGAAAGAGCATATCAGAACTTCCTTTTGAAAGTCATTAGAACAGTAGAGGGACTGGATTATAAAATAAGAAGAAACAAACAACCCTGCCTTCATCCTCACCAGTCAGGTGGATGATTGTAAACTGGTCATATGATCATGAGTGAGGTTCTTTGAGAGCACTGCATTATTGTAATATTTCTAAAAGCCTTCAGTTTACTTGAAGGTGTGGAGAAGATAATGAGGCAGAAAGCCAACAAGTCAGGAGATGAGGATAGATGTTTATCTTGTGGGGCCCTGGGTGTCCTGGGGGTTTTGAGCTCAGCTCCTGTGGGCAGGGCTGAGTGGCAGAGGTGGGTACAGCAGCTGGTGCCTAGGCAGTGTGAGTCCAGACCCCGAGGGACGACCCACCACACTCTGTCTGTAACTCCTTGGGCTGTCCACACTTGAGCTCCTCTCTGCTGCCTCACTTTCTAGTCCTTACCTGTCTTAGACCCATATGCCACATACAGTTTTTAGTAACACCATAAAGAAAGAGGTTGAAGTGAAGCTCCAAAATCTTGTGAGAGATTACTTTCATGTCTGCCCTCCAATACTTCTACTTTCACCTACCGTGTCGGTCAGGCTTTTTTCTTAGAATTCCCAGTTTCCTGATGACTTTACGATCACAGAGCTACATCTGTATAGCCCTATCGACTTATTGACCCTAATGCCTACCTCACAGGGAATAACAGCTGTGCAACTCATCCATCTCAGAAAAATAAAGAACTCACTTTATTATCCACAATCTTCCTGCATACCTGTTAGATTTTACTCAACAATAAATATTTAGCAAGTACCTATTAATAAGTCAAGCACCATGACAAGTTCTGGGCAAAAAAGTGACTTACGGTAACATTAAGTGACTAGTATACTATGGCATATAGTGTTAGACTGAATATGGTTTTCCATTCTGTTATGTTCGGCTGGATGCCTAGAACATGGCATTTTTTTCCCCAAATTTTATTTCTTTTTCAATATTTTTTTCATTATACAGTCAGGGTCTTGCTGTGTTTCCCAGGCTGATCTCAAAGGATCTGCCCACCTTGGCCTCCCAAAGTGCTAGGCTTACAGAAGTGAGCCACTGTGCCCGGCTCCACATTTTAAATCAAGCCCCTTTGTTCCTGTTTCATGGGCTCCTTAGGAATTTTAAAGTCAAAACATGCTTTGAGAAAGAAATAAGATCCATACACCATAAAAGAGGAAGAGTCAGTGACATTTAAAATTCTTTTATTATTCAACTTTTTTTTTTTTTTTAGAGATAGTATCTTGCTCTGTCACCCAGGCTAGAGTGCAGTAGCACAGTCATGGCCCATTGAAGCCTCAATCTCCTGGGCTCAAGTGATCTTCCTACCTCAGCCTCCTGAGTAGCTGGGAATATAGGCATGCACCACCATACGTGGCTAATTTTTAAAGTTTTTTATAGAGGCAGAGTCTCGCCATGTTGCCCAGGTTGGTCTCGAATGCCTGGCTCAAGCGATTCTCCCACCTCATCCTCCCAATCAGTTTTTAACCTTATATCACATTCACACTCCTAAGAGATAGATTTAATAAGTCCTTGCAGATATTTAAAAATTTCTACTGATTTCAGTGTGAAAGAGAAACATTTTAGACATATTGGGGTTTATTTAACTTCATATTGGAGAAGTTATCTTTTTATAAGTTATTTTCATTTTAATTCTATTTAGGATTTGACCCAGCAAATCAATCTGAGCCCCAAGCAACATCATAGTGCTTTGGAATGCTTACTACAGAGAATTGCAAAGAATGAAACAGCCAGCAATGAACTGATGCGTTGGGGGCTCCGTCTGCAAAATGATGTACATAAGGTAAACCAGAAAACATGATGGTATATGCACATGCACAGACACACGTGTGCAATGTTTATGTGACTTTCCTTTTGTTCTCAATATATTTTGAATGTTTGTCCATGTCGTTTAATACCTTTTTTTTTTTTTTGAGGCAGGGCCTTACTCTGTAGCCCAGGCTGGAGTGCAATGGCGCGATCTCAGCTCACTGAAACCTCTGCCTCCTGAATTCAAGTGATTCTCCCACCCCAGACTCCTGAGTGGCAGGGATCACAGGCACTTGCTTTCATGTCTGGCTGATGTTTGTATTTTTTTGGTAAAGTCGGGGTTTCACCATGTTGGCCAGGTTGGTCTCAAAGTCCTGACCTCAAGCGATCTGCCCACCAGGGCCTCACAAAGTGCTGAGATTACAGGTGTGACCACTGCACCTCACCATATTTTTCTCAGTATTTCTAATGGCTGCCTAATACTTTTTATTATGATTATTTATCCTTTTACATTTAAATTGAATTTACTGTTTTCTATTATAAATAATGATGCAGGCCGGTCATGGTGACTCACACCTGTAATCCCAGCACTTTGGGAAGCTGAGGTAGGTGGATCACCTGAGGTCAGAAGTTCAAGATCAGCCTGGCCAACATGGTGAAACCCCATCTCTACTAAAAATATAAAAATTAGCTGGATGTGGTGGCATATGCCTATAATCCCAGCTACTCGGGAGGCTGAGGTAGGAGAATTGCTTGAACCCGGGAGGTGGAGGTTGTGGTGAGCTGCAATAGGGCCACTGCACTCTAGACTGGGAGAAGGAGCAAGACTCCAGCTCAAAAAATAAAATTAATTAAAGAAAAATAATGATGCAATATACATCCTTGTAACTAAATCTTTGTATATGTTATTTATTTTTGAGATGGAGTCCAAGCGATTCTCCTGTCTCAGCCTCCCAATTACAGGTGCATACCACCATGCCCGGCTAATTTTTATATTTTTAGTAGAGATGGGTTTCACCATGTTGCCATGGCTGGTCTCAAACTCCTGACCTCAAGTGATCTGCCTGCCTTTCCTTTCCAAAGTGTTAGGATTATAGGCATGAGCCACCATGCCCAGACCTTGTTTACTAAGTCCAATTTATGAAAGTAAAATAATTTATGGACATTTATTTATGTATTTTGAGATGGCATTTTGCTCTTGTTGCTCAGGCTGGAGTGCAATGGTGAGATCTCAGCTTACTGCAACCTCCTCCTCCCTGGTTCAGGCAATTCTGCCTCAGCCTCCCAAGTAGCCTCAGCCTTCTGAGTAGCTGGGATTACAGGCATGCACCACCACGCCCAACTAATTTTGTATTTTTAGTAGAGACAAGGTTTCTCATGTTGGTCAGACTGGTCTCGAACTCCTGACCTAAGTAATCCACCTGACTCAGCCTCCCAAAGTGCTAGGATTACAAGTGTGAGCCACCACACCCAGCCAACATTTATGCTTTTGATACTTCTATTTTATTTATTTATTTTTTTTTGAGACAGTCTTGCTCTGACACCCAGGCTGGAGTACAATGGCATGATCTCAGCTCACTGCAACCTCCTCCTCTCAGTTTCAAGCAGTTCTGCCTCAGCCTCCCAAGTAGCTGGGATTACAGGCATGTGCCACCATACCCAGCTAATTTTTGTATTTTTAGTAGAAATGGGTTTTTACCATGTTGGCCAGGCTGGTCTCAAACTCCTGACCTCAGGTGATCCACCTGCCTCAGCTTCCCAAAGTGCTGGGATTACAGGTGTGAGCCACCAAGCCCGGCCATACTTATGTTTTATGTTGTCAGTTGTCTTCTAGAAAGGTTTAACATTGTTTTCTTTATGAGCATGAGTCTGACTGTTACACGTTTGCTAATATGAGTACCTTACTCTTTATAATAGACTTTTATAATATTAGGAAAGTCATGAAAGCATTTTTATTATAGATAACAAAATTTTTTTTGAGACGGAGTCTCGCTATGTTGCCTAGGCTGGAGTGCAGTGGTGCGATCTTGGCTCAGTGCAACCTTTGCCTCCCAAGTTCAAATGATTCCCATGCTTCAGTGTCTCAAGCAGCCACCACACCTGGCTAATTTTTGTAATTTTAGTACAGATGGGGTTTTGCCGTGTTGGCCAGGCTGGTCTCAAACTTCTGACCTCAAGTGATCTGCCCACCTCAGTCTTCCACAATGCTGGGATTATAAGCATGAGCCACCGTGCCTGGCCTAAAACGTTTTTTTAAAGCACACAGTAGAAATTATAAAAAGTAAAAGTCCTACATAATTATACCTCTTCCAGAGATAATCGCTACTAAGTTTGGACTTGGTTTTTATGATGTATACACACTAGTTTTGCAAAAATAGGATTATATTTCATGTAGTTAGAAAGTGACCAATGATCACAAAGTAGCCCATCAAACTGATGTAGATGTATTATTAGCTTAATTATCTTCCGATTTTTGGACATTTAGGTCTAATTGATTTATTATATTTTTGATTTGTTCTTTCATTATATTTATGCCTTTTTTCCCTCAGCTTTTATCTGGAATAATAGAAAATAGTAGTCTTTGTTTAGAATTATTAAGAAATTTTGCCTTGAATTTTCTCCTTTCAGTTTTTCCCTTAAAATATTTTCTAGCCTGGGCGTGGTAGCTCACACCTGTAATCCCAGCACTTTGGAAGGCTGAGGCGGGCAAATCACCTGAGGTCGGGAGTTCGAGACCAGCCTGACCAACGTGGAGAAACCCCGTCTCTACTAAAAATGCAAAAATTAGCCAGGTGTGGTGGCACACGCCTATAATCCCAGCTACTTGGGACACTGAGGCAGGAGAAATGCTTCAACCTGGGAGATGGAGGTTACAGTGAGCCGAGATCCTGCCATTGCACTACAGGCTGGACAATAAGACCAAAATGTCATCTCAAAAAAAATAATAAGTAAATATTTTATTTTATTTATTTATTGAGAGTGTTGAAAAAAAAAATCCCACTGCTGGAGTGCAGTAGTTCAATCTTGGCTCACTGCAACCTCCGCCTCCCAGGTTCAAGGGATTCTTCTTACTCAGCTTCCCGAGTAACTGCGATTACAGTCGTGTACTACCACGCCTGGCTAATTTTTGTATTTTTAGTAGAGGTGGGGTTTCACCCTGTTGGTCAGGCTGGTCTCAAACTCCTGACCTCGTGATCCACCTGCCTCAGCCTCCCAAAGTGCTGGGATTACAGGCATGAGCCACCACGCTGGGCCAACAAAATAAATATTTTCTAAAGACTGTTTTTCTTCATTCAGTGATTCTCTTTTTTTCTTTTCTTTCTTCAATCCTACAACAAAACATTCAGTGGTTCTCAATAGACATTGTTTTCAAATCCCTTTCTTGGAATATCATGTGGATGCTTCAATAATGAAAGACTAGTGCCTATAAGAATTTTACCTATACAATTGTAGAATTTTACTGACAATTACTTTCACTGCTAGAAACTTCATTGTTCTGCTAGTCTCAAGAGTTCTAACAGGGACAATGCATCTATGGTGGAGCTGACTGGACCTCATAAAGCAGAAGCAGTGTATTTCTAAATAGTGTTTGAAATGGCTCACGGTTTATTTTCTGTTTAGATTGAAGGACGTCTCCTACCAATGGAAAGAATTAACTTAAAAAATACTTCGTTTATCACATCTCAGGAACTAAACTGGGTTAAGGAAGTAACCAGAGAACCTTCCATCTTGACTGTAAGTGATTTTTAAAGTGATAGAGAAAGGACCAGTATTCCCCAAAGTGTGGAAATTAGGAAGCAGGAATGATCTGGAGTCCTCTTTTTGAGAGAAAGACCAGTTGAATTCCCATTCTGAATTGCTTACTAGACAGGGATCCTTCAGACAGAGCAGTTGATGAGTTGTTAGAAGTAAGCCCTTTGCTTGACCACAGACTTACGAAAGGAAGTAAATTGCTATGGTAATTCACATCGTGCCAACCTGTTACCCACTCTCTCTACTTTCTTTCTCTTTTCCCCCTCTTTTTCCTGGGAGTATCTAGAGGGCATTTTTATCCATGAAAGAAGTTAAATTAGATTAAAGCAGTACCCCACCTAGGGAACTAATACACTAGCTATTTGTATCAAAGTATAAAATGGTATATAATTAATTCTGTTTTAACCAATGTGGACTTCATGGCCAGATATATATAAACAGATACTTAAATACATGTATGTAAATGTTTTATTGAAATATAAACAAAAAGTACAACTATTAATATGTAACTTGATGAGTTTTTTAAATTAAATAGACCTGTATAGTCAACACCAAGGGTTAAGAAGCAGAACTTAACCAGCCCTCCAGAAGCCCCCTCCATTCTCCCAGTTACTGCCTTGCCTTTACCCCTCATACATGCAGTATGACCACCATCCTGACTTCTCACAGCACAGATTTGTTTCAAGAATTTCTGTACTTTATATATACATGGATTCATAGATTAGATATACTTCTATGTCTGGCTTTTATTAACTTTGTGTTGGTGAGTTTCATCCTGTTGTTAGGTGTGGTTGCTGCTCTTTCATTCCTATTACTGTATTACATTTCATTGTGAGACTGTGCCGCGCTTTCCTTATCATGTACTTTCGTGTTAATACTAGGAGTTAGGTAAGACAGGATTCAAGCAATGGGAGTGAAAAGTAATTGATTCTCTAGAATGAAATCTTCTAAGTGTGAATTTGGGGTGTTTAAATTGTGAGAAATACTAAAAGTAGCTTGTGGTTTTTCCTAGATCCCCATGCATTTCTGGGCACTTTTTTACCCAAAGAGAGCAATGGATCAGGCCCGAGAATTGGTCAACATGTTGGAGAAGATCTCCGGCCCCATTGGCATGCGGATGAGCCCACCAGCCTGGGTTGAACTAAAGGACGACCGAATAGAGACCTATGTCAGAACCATTCAATCCATGTTAGGAGCTGAGGTAAAAATGTAATTCTAATAAATGTATAGGATGTCCATTTAAAAATACTTAAATACTGAATTTTAACTTATCATGGTTATTGTCTGCTGTTGATGATTTACCCATATGCACATGAAATTCTGACTTTATGCCCTTCAGTTAATTTTGCTTCCCTCACTCTATGTTGGCACCCTCACTTACTCTCGTCTTCCTGTTCTCACGTAGCTGGCTGAGAGAATAGCTGACTTCACTTATGTTCATTATCTGTAGAACATGTTGTGCTCAGAAAGTCAGGTGCCGTCTTGCACGATTCACTACTGAGCTGCCTCAGACCAGCCTGAGTTCAAGATTAAAATTACTCTGGTGATCGACTTGGCAGATGGCCCACTGATAGGGTCCTGATGACTGATCAGTAACACTAGAGCTGGCCGGGTCATAGCACTCACGACTTAGTTATTCAGGCCTTTTAGTTCTTACCTGTTTCTAAATAAAATAGAGCAAGAAGATTAGGGAGAGAAAAGCAAGGGGAAGACTTCTGGAAGTAATTAGCCCTTGAATTGAAGGTTCTGGAAAATTGTTCCGGTGAGATCAATCCCAGAATTCAATCATCTTGGCATCACAGAGTTCTTTATTTTCAGTTTTATTTTTAAGAGGGAGGGTCAGCTGGGAACACAGTGGCTCACTCCTATAATACCAGCAGTTGGGAATGCTGAGGCAGGCAGGTTGCTTGAGCCCAGGAGTTTGAGACCAGCTTGGGAAACATGGTGAAACCCTGTCTCTACAGAAAATCCAAAAATTAGCTGGGTGTGGTGGCATGCACCTGTAGTACCAGCTACTCAGGAGGCTAAGGTGGGAGAATTCACCTGAGCCTGGGGAGATTGAGGCTGCAGTGAGCTAGGATCATGCCACTTTCCTCAGCCTGGGCAACAAAGTGAGAGACCTTTTCTCAAAAAAAAAAAAAAAAAGAGTGAGAGAGATAGGATTTCACTCAGTCACCCATGCTGGAGTGCACTCGTGAGATCTTAGCTCACTGTTGCCTCAAACTCCTGGGTTCAAGCAATCTTCCTGCTTCAGCCCCCCAAGTAGCTGGAACTTCAGGCATGGGCCATTATACCTGGCTAATTCACAAAAAAATTTTTTTATAGAGACAGGGTTTCACTGTGGTTGCCCAGGCTGGTCTCAAGCTTCTGGCCTCAAGTGATCCTGCCACCTCAACCTCCCAAAGCAGTGAGATTATAGGTTTGAGCCACCATGCCCAGCAGCATTCTCTTTTTGATCTGGCACTCTTGGTATAGCATTCACAACAGCACATTTGTGTTCCCTCTTTGGTATGTTTCTCTCTCTTTTTAGACAGAAAATCTTGCTCTGTTGCCCAGGCTAAAGTACAGTGGCATGATTATAGCTGACTGTAACCTCAAACTTGAGAACTCAAGGGATCCTCCTGCCTTAGCCTCCTGAGTAGCTGAAACTATACACATGCACCACCAGGCCTGGCTAATTTTAAAATTTTTCCTAGATATGGCGTCTCCCTGTGTTTCCCAGGCGGCTCTCAAACTCCCAGCCTCAATCAGTTCTGCCACCTCCCAAAGTGCTGGGATAACTGGTGTGAGCCACTGCGCCCAGCCCGTGTATTCTCTTCATAATTCCATCCTGATCTCCCATGCCAGTCATACTCAACCATGGCCTTCCTCAGACCTGATGGTAGATAAGTTCTGCTCTGCTTTCAAAAGAATAACTGAGCCCAGTACATCAGCTTTCTCATTTCACAATTTCTTATGTTCCCTTTTTGAGAGGGTACAACCAATAGTTTTCCTGTGGCATAGATGTGAATTTCATTCATAACATTTACCGACTTATCTCATAGTGGCCTTGCTCTCTGTCTCTTCATCTTTAAGGCATTCTGTTATCATCTGTATGAGGGATCACAAACTCATATGTCTCCAGAGCCCCAATAAGGAGTATAAATGAGTGAAGTGGGCCGGGAGGGGAGCGTAATGAACTAAAGGGGGTAGCCCCTGTTACTGGAGGTATGAAGTCAGGATTGCCAAAATGATTCTTAATGTGCTTGTTTGTTGATAGAAGCCAGAAACCTGGGATTGCATATGTGTGTATCTTCCTATGTTTAAATGTTAATTTAAACAAACACACACACTTGTAAGTCATTGTAGGGCCTGAAAAAATGCACCTGTTTGCTGTGTTCAGTCCATAGACTCCCAGTGCACAGCTCTGTTCTCATACCTTTGGAAACGCTTTGGTGTCATTGCTGAATGTGTCCTCTGAACAGTCTTAACATCACACCAATTTGATCTAAGCAGGGTACCACTAATTTACCATTTGTAGCAGTTTCTGGCATAAAGCGTTGGCACCCTTCTTTCACTTGAATGCTGCTTTTTTTAAATTCAGACTTTGAAAGGTCCACTTTTTTCAATATTGGATCCCTTAAGCAGTGAGGGATAGATGATACTGACATGTGTTGGGCTGCTGGCAACATCATTCTGTCTCTTCACCAGAGAGTTAGGAGTGGCTGCTTATGGATTTGGCAATAGCGTCATTCCAGTTTCCATTTAGCTCTGAATGCTTTCTTGTAGTATTGCATTCCTTGTTTCCTTGGTTAAAGTTCTGTGGTATGAGTACAGTAAGTTGCTTAGTAAACTAAAGAGATAGTAAAAAAAATTATATGGAATTGGAAGCAGCAAGTAATGTTAACTTTGCATGCATTCAAACCTGTTCCTTTTCCAGGCATCTGAGTCTCCTAATAGATAAATCTTTTGGTAATCAGGGCCAGCAATGGGTAATTAATAGTAATGTATTACCTATCTATACAGAACAGCCCTGAGCCCAAGAACTGCTAATTCAGCTCCAAGGACCTTGTTCTGGTTGGAATGTCCACCCTCTTTATTTCAGTTCCCTTTCTTCCTTAAAGTTTCTGAGGCTTTGGCTTTGCATACTCAGAATACTGCCAACTAGTGTCTGGTAAAAATCTGTAGAGTGTTCCAAAGGCTGACTTGTATATACTTTTTCCTCAAGGGGAAGATACAGATGGTTGTTTGCATCATCATGGGCACACGTGATGATCTCTATGGGGCCATCAAGAAGCTGTGCTGTGTGCAGTCTCCAGTGCCCTCCCAGGTGAGTGGGTGTTGGGGCAGGAGGCACAAATGGCACCTCTCGCCTCCCTTGAGGCTTGGAAAAGTGAGAGATGTGTGTTCACTAAGACTAAAGTAGTTGTTAGAAGTCAGTATGTGCAGAGCCTTCTGGTGAAAGGTTCTCCTGATTAGAGCAACCTGGAAAAGAGCACATCGCTCTTCTTAAGCTGCCTTCGTGCTTCTGAATGAAGAATTTCACTTGTTCCAAGGTTGAGTCACCAGGTGGTTTCATATAACTAAGTTCTGAGAGTGAGTTAAGGCTTCATTCTGAAAGAGGAAAGCTGTTTTTCCTATGGGAGTTAAAAAAGCATTCCACTCTGCATGAGATCCTTTTGAAGGTTTTCATTTGCTGGTTCTATTTTGTTTTGGGTTTTGGTGTGTGTGTGGGGTGGGGGTGGGGTATTTTGTGCTTGTGCATGCATGCCTAGGGGAGAGAGAGAGAGAGAGAGAGAGAGAGAGTGTGTGTGTGTGTGTGTGTGCATGGGTGCCTAGAAACCCTAGAATTAGAACTGTTAATGCAAAATATGTTATCTGCTAACTTGAGTTTCTTAAACAAATGCAGTGTTTACTAAATTCGAGTTCAGATTTTCTGAAAGGTTGATAGTGACCTGCTTCTCCCCACACCTTTTGTTCCCTTCATTATAGGTTATCAATGTTCGAACCATTGGTCAGCACACTAGGCTTCGGAGCGTGGCCCAGAAAATTTTACTTCAGATTAACTGTAAATTGGGTGGTGAGCTCTGGGGAGTGGATATTCCTCTGGTGAGTGATGCTGAAACTTAGGTCTTTGTTCAGTTTGTCTCACCAGAGAACCCTCCAAGCTGTTTTCCTGTTTTTCCTCATTTGTTATGCTTCCTCTTCTCAACCCTTAGTCAATAGTCTAAATGGCTTGCTATCGCTTCAGCCCATTAGCTAAGAATATTTTTTGTTTTTAAATGGTGAAAAAAATTAAGATGATTATTCCATGACACATGAAAATTATGTGGAGTTAGTTTTCAGTGTCTTACATAAAATTTCACTGAAATACAGCCATACTCTTTTCATATGGTCTATGACTGCTTTTGTGTTAAGCAGATAGAATTGAATAAATGTCAAGCATGCTTTTTCTGAAATGGCTGGGACCAGAAGCATTTTGGATTTTAGATTTTTGAGAGCTTGGGGACATTTGCTTGCATCCCACGTTCAAAAACCTGCACTCTGGGCCAGGTGCAGTAGCTCACGCCTGTAATCACAGCACTTTGGGAGGCCAAGAAGGCAGATTACCTGAGGTCGGGAGTTCAAGACCAGCCTGACCAACATGGCGAAACCCTGTTTCTACTAAAAATACAAAATTAGCCAGGAATGGTTGCACATGCCTGTAATCCCAGCAACTCAGGAGGCTGAGGCAGGAGAATCGCTTTCACCTGGGAGGCAGATGGTAAGCTGAGATCATTCCATTGCACTCCAGCCTGGCAACAAGAGTGAGATTCTGTCTAAAAAAAAAGAAAAGCTGCAATCTGAAACACTCTAAAATCTGGAACTCTTTGAGTATCATGTCGGTGCTCAAAAGGTTTCAGGTTGTACAGCTTTTCAGATTTGGGGCTCAACTTTTGGTTGCTGTAGAAACCATAAGGCTCACAAAACCTAAGATACTTACCTTTTAGTCCATTGCTGATCCCTGGTCTAGATCTCTGTGTTTATTGTGTTTAAAAAATGTCAGTGTGATTGTTGTCTTTCTTTTTCTTTCCCAGAACTTACTTTCATATATACACATTAAGGGGAGGTTGCTTTGGAATTCAGACAGTAATTATAAATGGAGCGATACATTGTTTGGGTCTGGGGTTTGGTTTTCGTTTTTGTTTTCTAACCTAGAAACAGTTAATGGTGATCGGGATGGATGTTTACCATGACCCCAGCAGAGGCATGCGCTCCGTGGTTGGCTTTGTGGCAAGCATCAATCTGTAAGTACTGCTCACAGTGCCATCTTGTTTGATTACTTCATTTGGGGGCCTAATTTTATAAATCTGGCAATTCTTTTAGCATGATGTATTATAGTATAAAGATTTCTAAACTCCTTCCTCTATCTTCTTGTGAAATTTTTTTCTTTTTGAAATGGAGTCTCCTTCTGTCACCCAAGCTTTAGTGCAGTGGTGCCATCTCAGCTCACTGCAGCCTCCGCCTTCTGGGTTCAAGTGATTCTACTGTCTCAGCCTCCTGAGTAACTGGGATTACAGGTGTGCACCACCATGCCTGGCTAATTTTTGTATTTTTAGTAGAGACAGGGTTTAATCATGTTGGCCAGGCTGGTCTTGAACTCCTGACCTCAGGCGATCCACCCACCTCAGCCTCCCAAAGTGCTGGGATTATAGGCATGAGCCACCGTGCCCAACCATGAAATTTGTTGATGCACCTTTTTTAGTTTTGAGACTGGTTTTACTCTGTCACGCAGGCTGGAGTGCAGTGATGTGATCACAGCTCACTGCAGCCTCAATCTCTCTGGTTTTAGTGATCCTCCCACCTCAGCCTCCCGAGCTGAGACCATAGGCATGCACCACCATACTCAGCTAATTTTTGTATTTTATGTAGATTCAGGGTTTCACCATATTGCCCAGGCTGGTCTCAAACTTCTGGGCTCAAGTGATCCACCTGCCTCAGTCTCCCAAAGTGCTGGGATTACAGGCATGAGCCACCACACCTGGCCGTGCAGCTCAGTGAACAAACTTGGCTTCCGTGTGAATGTGTTTCCCAGCTGCAGTGCAGCCTCCTCCAAGGATTGGGCTGTGCTGCTTTGTTGTTGGCTTTTTTCTCCCAGAAATGAGGGTTTTTTTTTTATTGTTTGTTCCAGTTGTAAAAATAAGGCATGCTCATTCCAAATACTGGCAGAAATTTAGAAAGTGAGAATTCCTTATGGTCCAGCTTTTATTCATATAAACGACTGCCTAAGGTTTTATATATATTTTCAGATTCTTTGATGCATATGTTAACACATACATGTGATATATATCTCTGATATATACACACACATATATATTCACACAAATGGGATATTGCTAGGCATACTATTTCTCAGCTTAATATGTACTTAAACTGTACATTTTCCCATATGATTACAAATAAATCTCAACCAACTCAACTGTTACACAGAATTTATTCTGTGTGTCATTATTTAACTAATCCTCTCTTGGTGGATATCTAAGTTGCTAACTTTTTTCTATTGGAGCAGTTTTGTAGCAAATATCCACAATTACACATTTTTATGTTCTGCATATGGCTGAAATATATCTTTTCCCCACATCACTATTTGTTCTTACATATAACAGAAATGCATTTCCTAGGTATTTGTTGGATGGATTCATAGAGAAACCTGTGTTACTGACACAAGCCATAGGCCATCCTCTTTGAGCATTTGTTCATCTTCCTCTCTCTGTCTCTCTACTCACCCCGACACTAGCACCCTCACAAAATGGTACTCCCGGGTGGTGTTCCAGATGCCGCATCAGGAGATTGTGGACAGCCTGAAGCTGTGCCTCGTGGGCTCCTTAAAAAAGTTTTATGAGGTGAGGAGAACAGAAATTCTCAAGTTTCTGGGTTTTTTTGTTTTGTTTTGTTTTTTTGAGGCGGAGTCTTTTTCTTGTGTCCCAGGCTGGAGTGCAGTGACGTGATCTTAGCTCACTGCAACTTCTGCCTCCCGAGTTCAAGTGATTCTCCTGCTTCAGCCTCCTAACTAGCTGGGATTTAAAGGCACAGGCCAGCATGCCCAGCTAGTATCTATATTTTTAGTATAGATAAAACTATACGGGGTTTCGCCATGTTGGCCTGGCTGGTTTCGAACTCCTAACTTCAGGTGATCTGTCTGCCTGGGCCTTCCAAAGTGCTGGGATTACAGGCCTGAGCCACTGCGCCCAGCCAAGTTTCTGAGTTTTTGAGGGCTATCTACGTGAACACTTGAATAGGAAGTCTGATGTGAGAGAGGGATCTCAAATCAAAGGTGAGTCTCCTAAGCAGCTTCTGCTGAGCAAGCAGCTCAGAGCGCCTCCTTTCAGGCTTCTGCTTGTAGAGATCAGCTCGAAGAGCTAAGGAGCTAATGCTTTCATTTGGTTTAGTAAGTAATAATTATTTCCCAGGTTGTCAGCCTGATGCCTCTAGACATAATCTTCATGTCCTTATCAGGGAAGTTGGGGGTAAATTTCAGCAATTAAAGCAGCTTATGAGTGTACTCAGCTTTTTATGACTTACTAGGTGCTGGCTCTTTTCATTTTGGTTCAAGACAAATGCCTCCTTATAAATCACCCCTCGAACTCTAAAGAATGCTAACTGTGGAGGATTGCTGTAATTAAGCTGATACTGGGGCTGGAACAGTGAGCAAGCAAGGTACTGACTTCTGGCTTGGCCAGTACATCAAAGGAAGCACTGATAAGTGCCTTTCATGTCTTAAGTCAGGGTTAGACCCTAACCTTTGCATAGAGGTTAAACAGCAAGAAATTTAATAATTTTTTATGATTGAAGTCAGTCTCTAGGGCTCCGCCTTGTCTCTGTATAGCATAATGTTTCCTACAGCGTCCTGCAAATAGTTCAATACTGTTCAGTTATTAGAGGTTGTGTGTGTGTGTGTGTGTGTGTGTGTGTGTGTGTGTAAGCCTATCTCCAGCAAGGTCCATATGTTAGGCTACTGAGTTATGAAGTTTAACCAGTCTTTCCTTTCTGTTGTTGTTGTTGTAATTGTTTTCCTCAAAAATTTGATTTGTCTTCTAAAACCTAGGTATGAAGCTTTTCCCATTTTTCCCTCACTGCTCCATCCCTAAGCTAGAATTCTTTATGTTCCTCTCCCAAGACCCTTCATTGATGATCTGTTCAGTAATACCACATCCTGCCTTATATTTGTCATTTGCACCCTTATTTATCCATCTCACTGGTTATGGATGGCTGTGCAACAAGTTACCCTGAAGGTTAGTGGGATGAAATGAGGAGGTTTGATGTTCACAGCCAGGAATCTGTTTACTCATCCAAATATAAATGTTCTCTGACTCAAAAGGGTTCTTTCTATTTTTTTTGAAACAGGGTCTTGCTCTGCCTCACCCTGCAGAGTAGCGGGGATTGCAGGTATGCACCACCATGCCTGGCTAATTGTTAAACATTTTTTAGTAGAAATGAGGTCTTGCTATTTTGCCCAGTCTTGTCTTGAACTCCTGGGCTCAAGTGATCCTCCCACCTCAGCCTCCCAAAGCGCTGGGATTACAGGCATGAGCCACTGTACCTGGCCAAAGGTTTCATTTGATTCAGGTCCTCATTATCGGCTTAGTCCTATGCCAGCTTTTGCCATTTCCCCAGTTCTGCACCTAGTGGAAGGAATCTTTGTATTTAAACTGTTTTGCAAAGTGAAGGCTCCGTATCTACAAAAAATTGAAAAAAGTCAGGTTTGGTGGCATGCACCCATAGTCCCAGTTCTTCAGGAGGCTGAAGTGGAAGGATCCCTGAAGCCCAGGAGTCCAATGCTCTGGTGAGCTGTAATCATGCCAGCCCAGTTGACAGAACCTGCCTCTAAAACAAATAAAATAAAATAAGGTATTTTGATCAGGCCTCTCCCAGAGCTTATCCTGACTTCTCTATAGCCCCAACATATTTGCTTTTGGGTTCTAAGATTCTGACTACCTCTGGACTCTCTAGTTTTATTAATCTTCCCCTAGGAATGACAGTAACCACTGGAAGTTCCAACACTCCCAAATAGTTGCCTTCTTATACATTTTCAGCCCTATTTTGCATCAGGGCTTGCTAGTCCAAAGCCCATTTTCTTCATTCTAAATCTCTCACTTGTCCTCTGGACTTATGTTCAGTAATAAGATGTTTCTAAATATTCTTATCCTTTTCCTTGAATAATTTATTTTTCTCTTCTCCTTTTTCTGTAACCAGGCGTTTCCTTGATGAATACACCCCCCTTTTTTTGAGACAGGCTCACTCTGTTGTCGAGGCTGGAGTGCAGAGTCTCAGTCTTGGGTCACTGCAGCCTCAACCTCCTGTGCTTGAGGGTTCCTCCCACCTTAGCCTCCCAAGTAACTGGGACTGCAGGCTCATACCACCACACCCCGCTAATTTTTGTATTTTTTGTAGAGACATAGTATTGCCATGTTGCTCAGGCTGGTCTCAAACTCAGGCTAATGTCCAATTCCTGGCCTCAAGCCATCCGCCCACCTCGGCCTCCCAGAGTGCTGGGATTACAGGCATGAGCACCTGTGTCCAGCTGAATACCCTTTCCTGTCCTGTCCTGTACAGGAACACACCACCACACCCAGCTCAGTTTTGTATTTTTAGCAGAGAAAAGGTTTCACCATGTTGGCCAGGCTTATCCCGAACTCCTGACCTTAAGTGATCCGCCAGCCTTGGCCTCCCAAAGTGCTGGGATTACAGATATTAGCCACTGTGCCTGGCCAAATACTGTTTTCTTAGAAGTATCTCAGATTGTGACTACTCTCATATCTCCAGAGTCAGACACCTTCCCCAGGCCAGTCATTTTTTTATCAGTATTACATCCTGGAGTGCCTTTAACCAATTTCCCAATAGAATTGATTATCAGTGTCAGCATCATCATACGACTTGTTTACAATGAGTTAGTTGAAATTTCCCAACAATATTAGTATTTCATCTCACAATATGATAGTATATATAACCTAAAATGTAAGAGTCAAAAGATAGCGTCATGTTACTAGAGTCCTACTCAGTCATAAGTAATTAGTTCAGCTTATTATACTGCATGACTAAAGTGTCTCCCACATATGTGCCACTTAGGTTTGCAGGCTTCCGTTCAACATTGTCAGGTTTCAAAAGCAGGAGTTTTCTCAGCAATGTGGCTTTACCCCTTTAGGCATCCTGTTTAGTTGAGCTAACAGATGGTATCACAACTTGCTCTAAGCCTCTTCCAAGGCACCAGTAAAATATTGGCGTTTGGGCTGGGCTCAGTGGCTCACGCCTGTAATCTCAGCACTTTGGGTGGCCGAGGTGGGTAGATGGCTTGAGGTCAGGAGTACGAGACCAGCCTGACCAATATGGTGAAACCCCATCTCTACTAAAAATACAAAAATTAGCTGGGCGGGTCGCAGGCACCTGTAATCTGTAATCCCAGCTACTCAGGAGGCTGAGGCAGGAGAATCACTTGAACCCAGGAGGTGGAGGTTGTAGTGCGATATCGCACCACTGTATTCTAGTCTGGGCAACCAAAAAAAAAAAAAAAAAAAAAGAATATTGGATTTTGCTCACTTCATAATCATTTGTTCTTTCTCCTAATCCTCAAATGTCATTCTTCCTTCTTTACATTTATATCCCTATCTATCTACTTTTGGAAGGGGCATTAAGTTTGGCCACTGTGCTGATCTAGACTGCTGGCAGCAATGCTGGCCTAGCAAACGTCTCCCACTCAGTCCCCTCTCATTCATATAGGGGACTGTTACACAGGTGCAGAACTAGCGGGCTTTCTCTACTACTGGCCAATATAACTGCATTCCCTGTGAACTCGTTTTGCCAGATAGAATGAAGGTACTAGTACACCCCTATCAGGCCATTAGGCACTCTAACATGCAGGTTTAAAAGTGTAGTTAGTTTCTTGCTTAGAGCTTGTTATGGGTTTAATTGTGTTCCCAGGAAGATGAAGTCCTAATCCCCAGTACCTGTAATGTAACCTTATTTGAAAATAAAGTCTTCGCATATGATTAACTTCAAATGAGGTCATTAGAATGGGCCCTGCTCCAATGTGACTAAGTTTTTACGAAGAGAAGAAATTTGGACACAGAGACAGACATACATAGAGGGAAGAAAATCTGAAGACACAAGAACACCATCTGTACATCTGTAACCCAAGAAACACCCAAGACTCCCAGAAGCTAGGAGAGAGACATGAACAGATTCTTTTCCTTACAGCTCTCAGAAGGACTGTAAACACCTTGGTTTTGAACATCTAGCCTCCAGAAGCATGAGACAATAAGTTTCTGTAGCTTTAGCCAGCTTGTTTCCTTTGTTTGTTTGTTTTGTTTTGTTTTGAGATGGAGTTTTTCTCTTGTTGCTCAGGCTGGAGTACAATGGCATGATCTCGGCTCACTGCAACCTCCACCTACCGTGTTCAAGCAATTCTGCCTCAGCCTCCTGAGTAGCTGGGATTACAGGCACCTGCCTTCATGCCCAGCTAATTTTGTATTTTTAGTAGAGATGGGGTTTCTCCATGTTGGTCAGGCTGGTCTTGAACTCCCAACCTCAGGTGATCTGTCTGCCTCGGCCTCCCAAAGTGCTGGGAGTACAGGCTGAGTCAGCCTGCCTGGGAAGACAGCTTGTTTCTATGGCAGCCCTAGCTGACTAATACAGAGATCATTGCAGCTTCTGGCATCTGCAGTGTAGCCCTGGTCCCAGGAGTACTATATCAGGTAGGAAAAAAAGACCGTTGAGGTTATGTGGGGAAGAAAGAAAAAAGTATAGTTGTACCACATCCTGCCCCCAGGGAAGAAATATAAAGTCACACCAGCATCCTGCCCATTCCTCTTCCTTTCCCTTGAATCGACAGAAAAATGGTAGAAATCTA